AACAATAAATCAGGAATGCCCATGAACAATACCAATGGCACAAGTGCCTTCTGCCTCAAAACTGCGTTGTCCCTCAAAGTTGGTTCAGTTGCTGCATTAGAAACAACCCAAATGACATAAGAACCAGCCATTGCAGCTCATACACACTTTTAACATGCATGTACACTCTAATAAGAATTGCAGTGTAAAAACATAAAAGCAACAAAAAATAATAAACAATTAGGCATTGTTTGTTAACTGTTTTCAATAACTGTTTACTGTTCTTAAAAACAAATTTCTATTTTCTAAATTTGTTTATCTCCTCTGCGCATTATTTGAAAGTGTTAGTCTCATGAACATGTTTACAAAAATCTGTCCCCTGAGGCCTGAGCACTTGAAGAAATGAATGAAAAAACATCTCAATTGTTTTCCAGTTTTTAAAACAATTAGTTTGGAAAGAAATTTCAAAACTCAGCAGAATTTAGATGAGAAATTGATTGTCAGTGATGTAGAATTATTTATTGAAAAAAACAGTTTTTAAAACAAAACAAAAAATGAGAAGTGAATCAAACAAGCCCTTAAACAATTAAACAGAAACGAAACAGAAACGAAGTAAGGTTAAATAAGATGTACCTGATAAAAGCTTTTGAAGAGTGGCACGAGCTTCCTTCCAGGCTGGCCTTCCAAGGGATACAAAATTATTTAGATTCGGCTGTCACGGAAATAATTCAGTTAGACCAGAGGTTCCCATTTCCCATACCCAAAAAATACAATATTGCATGTTACACGAAAAGATGTAAGAGAGACAGGTATAGAGAGCGAGAGAGTAAAAGTGTTCAATGTTCATCCTAATAGTAAGGCACATTCTTCCCTTTCTTTGAGTTTCTCGGAGAAACGGAAAGATTGTGATAAGTCCTTAAATTACGACATCTAATCAAATGCCAAAAAAAAAGGTTGGAAGTTACCCAGATTGGATAGTTGGTAGAATGAGCGAAACGCAAATTGAAGTTACCTGGTGGAAGCAATCGGAGTTTTTGAGAAGAGGGCCATGGAAGAGACCAGCAGAAGCGATTTCGGAGAGGTCGAGGACGAAGTGGCCGATGGCGACGCCAGGGCGAGGAGGTGAAGTGGGTTGGGGCTTGAAGACACCGTAAGGAAGGTTCTGTATGGGGAAGTGAGAATCTGGGTGGACCTCAATGAATGATTGCAGCAGAGACATGGCGATGGTACTCTTCAAATCAAGCTCAAGTCAATGGCAGCAGCACCTTGCACGAGACACTGGACGAGGAAGAAGAAAAATGCAGTTTAGTACACGAGGTACAAGAGCGTGTTTTGTTTTATAGATACAACAAGATTACGAGATATAATTTATTTACGGGGAATACCTACTTCCGTCTTAAAATTCAGTGTTTCACCGTCAACATTACTTTTTAAGATACGATAAATTCTATGGTACCCATTTTATTTGAAAGGGTACCGGTACAGTTTTATATATTTTATATTTTTAATAATTTATTTAAATAGTATTTATGATATTTTATTTTTTCAGTTTTTAAATTATTTAGTTATTTTATTTTTATTTTATATATTCTAATTTTATTTATAATAATATTATTATATATTTAAATAGTTTAATTTTAATAATTTTTTAAGTATATTTTTGTCTTTTCACTTAAAATTTTTAAATTTATATATTTTAATTTTAATAATTTTTTAAGTATATTTTTGTCTTTTGTCTTAAATTTTTGAATTTCTATATTGTAATTTTAATAATTTTTTATTTCTATTATTTATTAATTCTTTTCTTTTTTAATGTTTTATAACATTATTAAAATTTTATAATTTTAATCTCTCTAATTTTATCTTACTTTTTATTTTATAAATATAATTT